GGGAAACCGTTTTCATCCTCCCGGAGGCTCGAGGAAAGCCTCCGGATCCCGGGGAAAGCAAAAATGCTCTCCTGCTGCCGTGGTGCAAGAGGCCGAGTAGGCCACGCCCACCATGGCCACGCCCACCCAGCAACCAGGCAGAGAACCCCTTGCTAAAATTTTTGAAGCCCACCCCTGAGGAGACCCATTCATACTTCTTTACCTCATCCATTTATTTAGAAAATTTATTAGATGAGCGATGTTGTCCTTTTGATGGGAAAAAGGTGAAAACAAAAAATACCCGTAAAAATGATGAAGAATAACAGACGTCCCCACTCGGGCAAATGAAATAATCTACACTGATTTAATGGTTGAGTTCTGAGGAGGACCCCTGCTTGAGACTTTAAAGATAAGTTTGCTATCATCCCCCTTTCCCAAATAATATGGGTATTTAAGGCAGCTTCTTACAATCTTCTTTTACAAATGGGGATCTTAAGTGCAGGTGGACAGATGGGCATTCTAGAACATCAATTGGATCAGTTGGATAATCACCAAGCCCTCTTAGAGAAGGTACTGCCATTCAAAATCAATTTAGAAGGTTTGGGAAGCTGCTTATCATCCAAACTAAATAACATTTTTACTTTATCAGTTTCAAGACCAGCAAAGACAAGCACATAAGATAGCAAAGAACTACAGGCTGGTGGGTCCCAAAGACACATTTAGTAAAAGTCCTAAAGAGAGAAACAAAAGTGTAACCTTCAGGTGGTGAAGACCAGCCCGACTACTTCAGGAGATGTTGAAGCAAAAACCAAGACCACAACTCAGTTTTGCAAATTGCAGGGTGTACTTAATGACAGATCTTCCTGTCGATCTGTGGATGATCTGAAGGTGATCAAGAGTTTGAACCAGGGGTGAAATGCTCCTGGTTCGGACCGGATCCAGTAGCGATGAAGGCGGGTGGTTCGGAGAACCGGTAGCAAAAATCCCTGCCCCCCCCCCCCAATGCCCAGCTGAGCCGCACAATCATCAGAGGCTTTTTTAAAAAAAAATTAAAAGCATTTTTTCTACAACCTCTTTTAAAAGTAAAAAAAAAAGCCTCTGATGATCGTGCGGCTCAGCTGGGATCGTCAAATGCTTTTAAAAGCCTCTGATGATCCCAGCTGAGTTGCCTGATCTTCACCAAAGAGGTTGTAGAAAAAATGGTTTTAAAAGTTAAAAAAAAATGGCCACGTCTACCCAATCACATTACCACCACCACCAAGCCATGCCCGCAGAACCGGTAGTAACAAATTTTAGATTTCACCACTGGTTTGAACCAGAGTTGACTTGCAGCTCACTTCAGTTCCCCATGCCCACAATTCATTACAGTACATATTTTTGGACACCAGAGGTGTTAAGCTAAAGGCCCAGGGCCCGAATCTGGCCCATGGGGTGCTTAGATTTGGCCCGCCGGGCTGCTCTGGAAACAGCGGACAGATCCGCAGTGCCTCTGCCAGCAAAAATCGAGCTCCGTTTTCACTGGCAGAGGGTTGTAGGAGGCAGTCACAGCTGAAAACAGAGTTCAGGAGCCCGTTTTCTCTGGCAGAGCGCTCAGGCTGCCACAGGCGTCCCCTACACGAATGAAGTTGAGCTGGCCACGCCCACTCTGCCCCCCCTCCCTGAGGTCAAATACAACCCTCATGTGGCCCTCAATGAAATGGAGTTTGACACCCCTGATCTAGGCATCAAAATTCTGCTGGGTTTCAATTAAAGGTAACCTCCATGAACCCAAATTTTCTCTCACTTGCTCTACACCATAAACATTCTCTCCAATATTGGCATACTCCATCTTCAATCCAAAGAAACCAATCCTGAAGAAGCTCTGCTCCCTCTATAATTGAAGTCGACACACGATTTTAGATGTGTTATCCGCAAGGCAGCGATTAATCCACGGATACTACTTATAACTTTTCATCAATGTCTTCCATGGTGTTAAATATTTGTTTATGTATTCATGGCACCCTCCTGTTCCCAATCAACTTAACTTTGTCCTCCTTAACAGCCCAGTAGGATCTGATGATAGACCACATGGTGAGGAATATTGTTATATCATTTCATTCATAGAATCCTTCTCAATTGGTTGGGCAGGAAAAAAAAAGGTAGGAAGCAGGAAACACACACGCACACCCTTCACAAAATAAAAGGGGCAAGAAGACATCTACAGAAAACAATACTACAGAGCAGGATAAAATGGGGAGTATTTTTTTCCTCCAAAGTGATGGGATAAAAATATTTAGAAAAATAGCACCAACCACTACCTTTCAAGCCAAGTGCTCTATGGGCAAAAGAGTAGGCATAAATAATACAGTGATGAAACCTTAAACTGAAGAATATTTAGCAATCTAAAACTGTGCACAGAGACAGCCCAGATCGTGTGCTACCCTGTTTCCCAGAAAACAAGACCTCCCCTGATAATAAGCCCAATCGGGCTTTTGAGCGCATACGGTCAAATAAGCCCTCCCCGAAAATAAGCCCTCCCCAAAAATATTTAAGCACATGCACAGCTGGTCCCCGCCATTTCCTCGAGTTAGGGTTAGGGAGACAGAGGTGGAAATCAGGTAAGACGGCAAGAGGAGCCCATTTTGCTCCACACGGCCCAAAATAATAAGACCTCTCCCCAAAATAAGGCCAAGCACTTATTTTGGGGCTCAAAAAAATATAAGACAGGATCTTATTTTCAGGGAAACACGGGTACATTCCAGTTGAAACAATATCTACCTAAAAGCCCCTTATTTATCTGCGAACAATCATTGACCCAGGAGATATCAGAAACTACCCAATAACTCAAGAGACACACAATCAGCTGACTTTTCTAGCTGACGTACATGAGAGAGCAAGTACAGCAGAAATGAATTCAGCTCAAGAGAAACTAGTAGACATTGCCATGGTGTGCAAACTCCTACACAAGATGTAATAGAAGCAATGAAGATAAAGCCGTCAAGGAACAAAATCGTATGCAGAGAAATAGTCCCACGTTTTGCAAATTATAAAGGAAACTTTATAAGGATAGCCATTAAAAAGCTACATGTTTCACAACCTTGGCAGATGTGCTGATTTGCACTCCCTGAATATGATAGGTAGGAAAGCTTGGAAACCAGTGATTCAATATATTCAAGACCCCAAGTGTAATAAAAGCAATATTTTAGTAAGAGATGCATCAGAGTCTGAGGATCTTAGCACATACAGGGGCACTTCTGGTAGGGGGTGATGTTGTATCTGTCTTATGACACCACTAAAGGTGCAGCATCAAGTCATAGCCATGTAAACATCCTTCTGTGTACAGAGCATGAAGGATATTATAAAAATACCTGGGTGTAACAAAAGTAGTCAAAAAGTGGAAATTGGTTTGTCTTTCATCATCTAGGTATCCAAGACTCACTTGTTTTATGCTCCAGTATGGCTTTACCTGCCACCAAATAAAATATGGAGATAGACCACCGCTTCTGAATCTCAGCGACTTTAAGATGGTTAGACTTCAATTGCCAGAAATCCCCAAGCTGGAAGTTGAAATCCAAGCAATGTTCACATCAGGCGTCCTGAAGTCCAGAGAGTTGGAAGTCCACCTTTATTAACACTGCTGAGGTTCAGAAAACACTGGGATACAACAAACCCATCAAATGCCTTAAGATCCCGGCTAGGTTTTTATTAACACTTGTGTAGAAACTTGCTCGGTTTACATACAATCTGATTCCTCTTAATCCACTTCTTGTAGAATCCTCTTTCTAGCAATATGCAAATACACAGCATCATTCCACAGGTTTCCCTCAACCACAATGGTAATTAAATGCATAACCTATTCCGGACGATGTTGTGGACTTTCGGTTTGATATTTTGCACTCCCATGACCATTTGACCCTTGAGGAAACCAACTGGCACGTTGCCAGATCAAGCTTTGTAAGCCCTCCTTCTTACAAAGTCTGCTCCATTGATTCCTATCTCTGCCTCTTGCTTTTCCTCTAAGCCATGGGTGTCAAACTCGCCGCGTCAAGTTGATGTCATGTGACGTATCATGACTTTTTTTTCCTTCGCGGAGCTGGTGTGGGCGTAACCTGCACGTGACGCACCCAGCCCTCGGGCTGCCAGTTGGACACCTCTGCTCTAAGCAGACTTCCCTCCTTCCACGAGGCTTATTGTCAAATAATCTCAACTCCCTCCCAATAATTAGGTTGTAAAGGACAGATAATAAAATGGTCCAGTTCACCATTCACAGTTCCCTCCGGAGTAAAACGTTTCTTTGCGCCCCATGCAAAGAAGCCGCTTAATTATTTTCATAACTTAAAAAAACACAGACCTAGAGGGAGCAGAAACAAAACGATGCCAAGGATAAGCTAGCGTTCTTGAGATTAAGAAGCTGATTTTAAGAGTTCACAGCATCTCTGTTTGCACTCGCGCACCCCGAGATGCAAAAAAAAAAAAAAAGGGGGGGGGGAACAGTAGTTATAATCCTACAATTATTGGTAAAGCTAATTGGTAGCTTCTTCCTGGCTGTGTTTTCATGTTGTCAGTAGGGCAGTAATGAAAACGGAGCACCGGGTTTGAGAACAGAATGTCTGTAGACTTGTTTACCACATATCCGACAACAGCGTCTGGTTCAACAGGCATGGCAAAGAGGCAGTGATTTAAGGAGCTCTGAATGCTTCCATGTAACAATGCATTGCATGCAGACACAGGCAGAACCCCCAGCCAATAGAAATTGAAGTTTCTCCCCAACAAGAGACGAGGCAAAAAAAGTCGCAACGTACAGGAATGGCTGTGAAGTGGAAAATTCTTTTGCTAGAGCCAAACAAAGCCCTACATTATTCCTGAGCTTACAAGCTTGCAAGAAATGCCCTCCAAGCAATTAGCCGGCAGAACATTTCAGCTTGGGATTCTTCCTCTTTGCTTGTTAGCTCTCTTTTCTCCCCCCCTCCAACCGCCACTCCAGGGATAAAAATTTCCAAATTTCCAAATTTGAGCTACCAGCTCCAAGTAAGCCTTCCTACCTTTGAGGAACTGCTGCCTTTCCATCAGGTTTGGAGAAACCAAGGCTGTGTAGTCCTCTTCTGAGAATCCTGGTTTGCAAGTGGGCCTGACGGTAAGATCCCCATTGTGTGCCTGCAGCGATGAAGAGAAGAACCCCCCCCAAAAAGTACCATGAATTGGGTTGCGTAAAAGAGGGGAAAAGGAGGGAAAGAGAGGGAGGGAGGCAGACAGCTTTTTGCAGCAAGCGTGCAGGTGTCTGCAAACAGCCAAGCTGGCACAACAGTAACAGGTTCATCATGTCGATAACATATTGCAAGCTAAGAAGCAAAAAAAATAAAATAAAAACCAAGCAACCCCAACAGGAATCTAGCATATTACTTCCCAGAAGTCTGGATGCCAAAGATAAGTGAGGAGAGGGGAAAAGAAAAGAATATTAAACGAGGATGGGGTGAGTCATGCAAGCTGTACATCGTAATACTTTCTGTCCAGCAGCAGTAAAGGAACCCTAGTGGCTAGGATCAATACCAAATCAAGCCATGGTTAAGGAAAGACTGACTCGCCCTCGCTTTAACACAGAATTGGAAAATCCATTTAATCACCCTGTTTGGCTCTATTTGCCCAACAATAAGGACCCGCTGGAGTTCAAGTTAAAGCTACGGCAAGATGCTGTTGGTTTGTATACCCAGACCACGCTTCCCTTAACAAATCAATGTGGAATTGCTGAGCAATCACCAACTGGTAGACAGAGAAAGGGGGGAAAAACTGCCAAGAAGCCAGCCGAACATCCCTGGCTGATCTGCAAAGTGAAATCCAGGAAGGTTAAGAAAGCACCCCAGAGGAATAAATAATAAAAAAAAACACACGACATAGGCAGATCTTTCTCCTCCTTCCTGGGCTAACTGTGCAAAGCAGGTTAATTTTAAGGAGCATCACATATCTGTTCCAAATTTTCAATAGGAAATCTCCAGCTTTTGGCTTCATAATCTCTCCCCTTTGGGGATAGACAGATAAAAACAGATCCGTCTTCAGATGCAAGCTGGACCAAAAAAAAAAGGGGCAGATTTTTCTCTCCAAGCCTTGAAGAGCTGACTAGGAAAGAATCAATTCCGTTCGTGCCTGGCTTTCCAGACCTAGCAGCTCAATTTGACTCCAGCTAATATGTCAGCTTGAAACTAAAATGCTGGGTTTTGTGAGTGACTTGTAAATAATCAAATTCCCACGGTAAGGAAGACACTAAGATTTAATGCAAGGAAGCGTTGTTTTCATGCTGCTCCGGGAACTCATTTGGAGATTTAGATGAGGGCAGTGGGTTCAAAGCAGCCAGGGGTGAAATCGAGCAGATTCTGGAGAACCAGTAGCGGAAATTTTGAGTAGTTCGGAGAACCAGCAAATACCACCTCTGGCTGGCCCCCGAGTGGGGTAGAAAAGAAGATTTTGCAATATCCTTCCCCTAGGAGTGGGGAGAGAATGGGGATTTTGCAGTATCCTTCCTCTGAAGTGGGGTGGGAATGGAGATTTGGCAGTATCCTTCCCCTGCCATGCCCACCAAGCCACGCCCACCAAGCCACACCATGCCCAAGCCACGCCCACAGAACCGGTAGTAAAAAAAACTTGGATTTCACCACTGAAAGCAGCCCCAGATCATAAAACCAAGGGACCTACACCTAGTAGCAATTTTAAACCACTTCCCCAATTGCTTTTACACACCCTTTTACAAAGGGTCCTCGCTAAAGATCTAACAGGCAGGAGGAAACTGAAGCAGATTCAGCCAAGCAGGAATTTTAAATAATTATGAACAGAAGGAAAGCCACATAAAACCTAGATGGGTGTAAGAGAGTGTGAGAAAGAGAAGGAGTGATACACAAAGCTCATCTCCCAGGCTGACAAGCTTACTAAGCAAAAAAAACCCCCAAGCTTGTGTAATGTCTGCAAAAAAAATCACACGCCTGAGGCAGAGAAGTGCCAGTTTCCATCTTTCAGGAAAGTGAATCTTCCTGGGAGCTCTCAGAGGTTGCTGGTTTTAAAGGAGTTGAGTTTGGATCAAAATCCTTCAGAGGATTCCAACCACTCAGTGATTATGGGGGACCTAGTGCCAGCGGTGGGTTTCAAAAAATTTTACTACTGGTTCTGTGGGTGTGGCTTGGTGGACATGGCATGGCTTGGTGGGCGTGGCAGGGGAAGGATATTGTAAAAACTCCATTCCCTCCCCAATTCAGAGGAAGGTTACTGCAAAATCCCCATTTCCTCCCAATCAGCTGGGACTTGGGAGGCAGAGAATAGATGGGGGTGGGGCCAGTCAGAATTTTTACTACCGGTTCTCCGAACTACTCAAAATTTCCGCTACCAGTTCTCCAGAACTGGTCAGAACCTGCTGAAACCCACCTCTGACCTTGTGTGCCCAATCAGACTTGGCCAATGAAGAATTCTATTCTATTCTATTCTATTCTATTCTATTCTATTCTATTCTATTCTATTCTATTCTATT